GCTAAAAATGATTATGAAGCTCAATCTATCGCTCGCTTTGTCATTTGCCACTGAATTATACCGGTTTCGTGGAATTCTACCTATCATCAATAACCCTGGACAAGGAAAAGTCGAAAAAACAAGACTAGGCCTCATAAAGTGGTGAGTAAAAGAAAACTCATAACACTATACAATATTCTGATGGTATTATTAGTGTAAAAAATATATAAAAGTAGCAGTGGTATAATTAACTACACCACTGCATTAGAAGACTGAAGATTTGTAGTTGAAATGCTTCGTTATTCTAATATTTTATACTTTGTTCATCTTATATATTGGTTGTTTACTTAAATGAAGTCTTAATTTCAAACTTTATGAAACTGTGTTTTGGTTGCTTGTGACAGATTCAACTTCATTATTCAGTTCTGAAATAAAAATCCTGTAATTAATATTACTTACGTTACATAGGGAGCAAAATACTTTAAAGTATGGGGAAGATTCTGACACAATAGTATAGTGTAGGAAAATATAAGTGAAATACTGAGCCATAAAAATGTGTGAGAATGGAGTTCTGTGATATCTGTATACCTTCCACCTTACATATGTGTATGTACATAGAACTGACATTTCAGGCACATCATACTATACAACGAATAGGAAGATAACCACTCGACTGCTTAAAGACGACGTTGTGTTTTTAATTAAAATACCATAAATTATTTGTTATCGATGTAATGGAAATGACAAAGAACAATATTTTAAAAGCTTACAAAACTTTTCAATAACACAACAATAAGAAAAGTGCATTATTCCGCAAGGAGCTAGAACATTTTCCAGCTTATTACGCCATTGCCCCCTGTGGACTTACAACGCTATAATCCAGGTTTTGATACCCGCGGTGGGCAGAGCACAGATAGCCCATTGTGTAGCTTTGTGCTTAATCACTAACAAACAAACTTACCCCGTTTGAAATTTTGTTGGCACATTGCGTTGTTGGATAATATAAAAATACTTTAAGAGTATTGAAAGAAAATAACCGTTATTCGCCTACTCTAGCAACTCTGTAAGTGTGTATGCTTTTCTTTATGTTTTTGAACAGCATTGAATCAGTATACATTATTTTCGAACTTAAAGTTTCAATTTAACATATTGTTCACAGGCATTGTCTTTAAGGATTTTTTAAACTTAAAAGTAGTTTTTGTTACATATATTCTCTCTCTTTAATAATCTGTATTATAAATCTAAAGTATTCAGTTAGATTTTACACTCAGAACTGCACATTTTTAAAGAAATTTTGAAAGGAATTATTTTCGTGTTGTTTGGTGGTATTGTTATTTTCACTTTCGAAATTTTAGGCTTCCGTGAAGGTTATGAGATACCCTACACCTTTTAAGAAATATTTACTTGACAAAGTTAGTATACAAGTAATGACGTTTTAAACTAATATTAACTAAGGGTGATTATTTTTAGTAAGAAAACTTTGGATTGTATACGAGTAGTTGTGTTTTTGTATAATTTTTTTACTTTGGCCCGGCATGCCCGGCGGTTAGGGCGCTCGACTCGCAATCTGATGGTCGCAGGCTCAAATCCCCGTCACACCAAACATGCTCGCCCTTTCAGCCGTGGGGGCGTTATAATTTGACGGTCAATCCCACTATTCGTTGGTAAAAGAGTAGCCCAAGAGTTGGTGGTGGGTAGTGA